CATTTGACTATGCTCCCTTATGCATTTCGAACTACACTTCTTTTCCTAAGAGCATCTTCTATGTGGTGCAAAAGCTTCATAAAAATATGATTTCAATACTGTAAATCCTTCCAACTTTGCAATCCATCGGAAAACATGATAGATTGTGTCTAATGGGCAGTGAAGTTCGTGACTATTGCACAAGCAAAGTTCCAACTTAAGCACTCATAAAGAAAAATTTAGTGCAATTTGGCGACACCTAATTTGTGTACAGTCAAAGTGCACCACCACAAATTGCATCTCAGACTTGATAATTGGTACTCCTTGGGATATAAGGGAATCAAAAAAGGCCAATTGACAAAATTTGGAATTTTTTCATGCTATGAGATGCAAAAGATGGAAAACTGCTTTAGTCACTCAATATTCGATGATGCCTCAACGTATACAGTACTAATGTCCCTTTGCATGTTATAGAGATGCATGCATCTAGGCTTATGAATTACTGTATCTTCAATAACTTTAAAGAAAGATGAAATTCATTGTGCACTTCATGTAAAAAAATTAATTGGCTAATTTTAATCGTATGAAAGTCAAGAGTACCTTAGCTTCATAATTCGCTTTATTGTCATGTTACCAATCATCTTAGCGCTCAGTATATTTGTGAGATGTCTCTCAGTTATTACTTCTTATGCAATATATGCTCTGTTGCAATTTGGAATTTAAATAATAACTATTGCATCCACCAACTTGTACAGATCCCCATATTTACAGCGTCAATTGAGTGCATTAATTTTGCATCATCACTCATTATCTTGCAGCAATGACCTTAATAGCAACAGCACCTTCTTTTTCCCTCCTCCACCCTCCTTGTCCCCGCTACTCTCCCCGCACCTTGTTGTGCAATGCTGTTTGCTTTTTATACACTTTGTAGTGTTAGAGAAAGATAAGCTTCCGAAAATTTACGAGTATTTTTATTTAGTTATTTGTTGACGAGGTGTTTATTTGTTTGTGTTCATGCAATAAACAAGGATGAATATTACCGGTTCTCTATGTTGGAAGAGTTCTGAGTTATTTCTGAAACATTACAAGCAACTCTTCAAGATAAATTGGAAGCCATTACTACACTGTCAATGACTGTTCCCATGATAAACGTCTAGAATTGGGTAAAAATACCCGATATCATGATCAAAGGCCAATCAAAAAGAAAAGTCTTGAATGAGCGCAGTTTTTCATTCTACCTTTTAAATACCACGTTTGCTTCTGCATTAGAACTTATGACTTTCACCTAAATTACTACACCTTTCAATCTCGCTATGCATTCTCGGAATTGGGAACGATGACGTTGGGAGAACGCATAGAATGAAAGAGATAAAAGAAGAACACTGAATGTTTCCACTAGAAACCATCTACGATAATCGAGGAGATTTGACAGAGACCCGTTTATGCCAATCACGCATATAACTAGTATGGAATGCAAACATAATCGTTGTTGAGGCCGAGAGCCGAACGTAACATCCAGTGAACATCTTGTAAGCGATCCCCATTGTCTCGCAAATATCGATGCAGCTTAAACAAGGATTTCAAACGCCTATTTATGATACCTCGTCTAGTTTCCAGTGCACATAAAATATATTCGATTTTAGTTGTAGTTAAATTTTCTTTGATAACTCCAAAAGTAGATGATAATTATATAAAATCAAGAAGAAAGTTCATCCTACAAATTTAAGCAGCTCGTTGTTTTTTTTTTGGTGCATCATCAATATATATTCCAGAAATGATTTTGAGTAAATGTGATTTTGTTGATCCCTAGACAATAATAGTGAAATATTTCACAAGAGAACAAAATCGATTAGAAAAACTTTCGTACCTCCTCTACAGCATTCGGGCCGATCTCTCTCATCGTCATATCGTATAACCTAGCCATTCGAAGTTCGACAGCGAATTCCAACTTACGTATCAAAGGCATTTTCGCTACTATTAGAAACGACTCAACTTCCCGGAGTACAGTAAGCATGCGGTATTGTGAAGCTAAGATGCTCATCACAAGGTAATTATCCCTGGATAATTAAACTCAGACAAAGTCATAACAGCATGCAAGAAAACTTTACTTGTGGATGATTATCGATCCGAATCGAGC